CCTTTTACCTTTCAGGATACTGCATTTTTAAAAGCCCAGTGTTTCCCGCCATCAACATAAATATCTATAGCTCTCTTGGATATAGATACTATATATAAAGGCATGCACGGAGGGCTAACTTTGCATGGGAATGCAAATGAACTGCTCTCTCTTTTTCTCTCATGCCACGGATGCTGTTACAGCATCTCCAATCCGTGTGATTTAGAAAGGCAAACATTTTAAAATAAAGTGATAATAATGTGAGAGCATCGGGGCTGGGGAGAAATGAAAGGACAGAAGAGACAGCAGGAAGTTTTTTCCTTTTGCTGGAGAAAAGGAGAAAAGGAAGGTTTCAAAACACCTGGGAAGAAGCAAGGAATTAGGTGTGCATGCGGTCAACTGTTTTAGCCACAAGAAAAACAGTTTCTTGGAGGAGGTAGAGAAGGCATCTCAAGAGTTCCAGGACACACAAACAAAAATTAACATACTGAAACAGTGCTGAACAGTTCCACAGCTATTGCATCTAACAACAAACAACTTTATCCCAAATGTTTTGACAAGACATTTGATGCACTCAGATATTTTAATCCGCTAGGCCAGCGGTCTCCAACCTTGGCAACTTTAAGACTTGTGGACTTCAACTCCCATGGTTCCTCAGCCAGCAAAGCTTCAACTCTGGGAGTTGAAGTCCACAAGTCTTAAAGTTGCCAAGGTTGGAGACCACTGTGCTAGGCAACTAAAGTCCCTTCATAATTAGTTCTCGTTCTTTTATTCCACCTTAATTGTTCAAGGTCAGAAGAGCAGCGCAGAGAAGAGCAGGCTCTGAATCAGCAATTAAACAGGTAAACCGACTCAATTAAAAGATACCTTTTAATTTTCTCAAGCCGCTTTTGGTAAAAAAAAAATTAAAGCACTGGAATCCTCAATCTTAGGCATTTCTGAATCGCTCAAATATTAGCAAGCAAATCAACAGAAATTTTTAATGAAAATGTTATCCGGATTTGGAGTCACCTCGGGATTCCAAAATGTTAAGTAGTAGGGTGTCATGGCCCTCTCAGATCCTGGTTTGGAGACGGGATTGGAACCGGGACCATCCGATCGGGATGGCACGTCTTTCCTGGAACCTCTGGGGAGTCCAGGAGCCGAGGACAATGCTGCCCCAGGCCCTTCCAGCATTGGGGGAAGTGGTTGACCCGTATGGGGAGCTGCCTACCTTCACAAATGCTGGGGAAGATTGGCTGCAGACAGGCAATGGAGATGAGAGACAACAGATTCCCCTCTGGCAAGGAACAGCTGCCCCCCCCCACCTGATCCGAGGGCATGGGGAATGGAGCGGAGGGAAGCTCAGAGGAGGCCTGTGAGGCTGATGGGAGGAGGCTGCCCTACTTCTCCTTGTAAGGAACGGTTCCACCACAAAACCGCGGTAGACTAAAGCGCACTCGACGAAAGTGCGTACGTGACGTCATCACAGCGCGANTGTAAGTCGAGGACTATCTGTACAGTGCAATGCTGAGGTCCAAGAGGCAAGGAAAATGTCTTCTTCTTATTATTTGATAGCTCATTAGTAACCTTGACTATCACTAAGTGTTGTATCTTTTTATTCTTGATGAATGTATTTTATTCTCCTTATGTACACTGAGAGCATAGGCACCAAAGACAAATTCCTTGTGTGTCCAATCACACTTGGCCAATAAAGAATTCTATTCTGTTCTGTTCTATTTTATTTTATTTCTGTTCTGTTGTTTTATTCCTATTCTATTCTATTCCTGTTCTGTTCTATTCTATTTTTGTTTAATATGGAAAGGTGCCTTCTACTTTATCCCTCTTTCCTAATAATGCTTCTTATTTTGACCTACGTTGCCTTCCCAGGTTTTCTACTAGAGCAGGGGTGTCAAACTCGATTTCATTGAGGGCCGCATCAGGGTTGTGTCTGACCTTTAGGGGGGAATGGGTGTGGCCAGCTTGACATTACTAGTTTCAGGGGTGCTTGTGGTGTCCTAAGCACTTTGCCAGGGAAAACAGGCTCTGAGTTCTGTTTTCGTCTGCGACAGCTTCCTCCACTCTGCCAGCGAATATGGAGCTCTGGGAGGGCTGCATGTTTTCTCTGGCAGAAGCACCACGGGCCAGTCCTTTGCTGTTTCCTGGGCGGCCTTGCGGGCCAGGTCTAAGCACCCTGCAGCCCCCGGGCCTTGAGTTTGACACCCCTGTACTAGTGGTTTTTTCCCGCCATTACTTGTGCTTTGTTTCTCTTAAGAAGAAATACTGTGGAATTGATTTGCTGTATTCTGCACACAAAGCATTTATACAATCAGGGTATGTGACCATATATACCCTAAAGTAAGGTTTCTCAAACTTTACAAATTTTAAGATTTGTGGACTTTTGTTGGCTGGGGAATTCTGGGAGTTGAAGTCCAACATCTTAAATTTGCTAAGTATGAGAAACACTGCTCTAGAGTGTAAACCTGAATCTTATCCAGAAACCTAGGGACAAATGCAGAGATTGATGGAAGAACAAGTCTTTTAAAGTAGGACTTTTGTAGACTGACCTATATGAAGGTTATGTAAGAACACTTATTGGAGGATTTATGGTCCCTCCAGAGATAAGAGACATTATTCTTAAAAAAAAAAAAAAAAACCCAGACCACCCCTAATTTAAGAAAACCCCCATTTATAAACAACATTTTAATAACACAGTAAAGGTTGGTGTGCGTGCTTATCCACATATTTATGTGTAACTGCAAATTTTTGACAGAGAAACAAGGAAAAGAATCTAACCAAGAAAAACACATTTCAATAAACAGGTAAGCTAATTCAGTTTAAACTGCAACATTTCAAAGCATTGCAAATATTCGTATCTCTAATGTATGAAACGTGTTTACCTCCTACAAAGTAATCTTTCAGCAATATTATAAAATAAGTGTTCTAAGAACATATGACATTCTTCTAATATGCTAATAGCCTTTTACCGAGTTTATATTTAATTTGCAGGTTGGAGTTGGAAATACTGTACCTAAATCCTAGCTCAACAATACCCCCCCCCCCGGAAGGCAGAGGCATTAATTTAATCAAAAATGTCATAAGACATAGAGGGCACTGCATAAGAACACAACCTGGAATTGTGAGATGGTTCAGAAGGCTTAGTGTGAGGTTGAGCCTTGGATTAAAAAGCACGTTTTACATGTGGATAAACAAAAATCTTCCATTTCAGCTGTAGAATAATATGGATACAAAAATACAGTTGCAAGAAATGAAGGATTACAAAGATTAATATTCTGAAGCCCACATACCCCAGTGTTTATATTTACACATGTTTAACGAGGTCAAATAAACACTCATTAATTATATTTGCACAACAAGCTTAGCTTGATTGGTGTTAACTTTAGTTGTGACTTTTAGAGGTTTAATATGTAAACTCACTCAGGATATTTGGTTTAAGTTTCGGCACATTGTGCAAGTCTTGAAAATGAGTTCATTCCATAAATACTGTGTGTTATAGGAATGCAATCTCTGAATCTTCATGTGTAATTTCACTTCCTTTACCCTAACAATCTTTTCTGCCTTCCAAAGAGCTTTCCAAATCTTACTGTTTTTGTATCTTAAACCATCACACTATTACAACCTATCAAGAAGCATAATACAAGAAGCTGAAGGGACAGGTAGCAATGGTTATAGCCTCAATTTGTACCATGGAAGCCACCAACCAAGAATCAGCTTGGTTTCACATTCAAATAAGAGGCCTTTTGATAGGCTGAATCAATCATCAATCCTGTCTCAGAACAATTAATCAATGGGACAACTTGCCTCCAGAAGTTGCGAATGCTCCAACACCAGAAGTTTTTAAGAAGATGCTGGATAACCATTTGTCTGAANCCCTAAACCTAACCCTAAACCTAACCCTTAACCTAACGCTAAACCTAACGCTAACCCTTAACCTAACCCTAACCCTAACGCTTAACGTAACCCTAAACCTAACCCTAAACCTAAACCTAACCCTAACCCTAAACCTAACCCTTACCTTTATGTGAATCAGCTTGCTTTAATTTTATTTTAATTTAATTTATTTTTAATTTTATTTGTCGCACTGCTGATGACGTCACGTACGCACTTTCGTCGGGCGCGCTTTAGTCGACCGCGGTTTTGACGGGTCACGGTAAGGAGCACTTGGCTTGGGCTAACCAGGGGAGCGTGCCTTTGTTGGGAGCAACTGCTTGCCTTGGCACTCACTCCCAGGACGTTGGGAAACCTTGACTTCTGGGCTCCAACTCATGTTTCAGCCTCTGGATTTGCATAGCTTCCTTGGCGGATTCTGACTCTGGATTGTGGTTTAGGGATTTCGTTTTTGCAACCTCTGCACTGGATTTGTAGACTTTCTTCCTATTTGGGGGCTTGTTTCTGGTGACTATTGGACTCAGCTAGTGGGACTGTGTTACTTTGACTGTGGGTGGGTTTTTTTGGGGGGGGGGAATGGGATGGGGGTTTATTAACATCCCTGAAGGACTGTCTGTTGTGATTTAGCAGTGCAATAAAATACTTTACCGGTACATGCATCTACATACACAACCTGGGTCAGGACATAAGGATTGCAACTAAATTCAGCGCCACAAATGAATAATGGAAAAGCTGACAAAACTCAGCAGAAATGATGGCTCAATCAGTTACAAAATGATCACGTTAGACTTGCTGAATGTTCTAAGTTCAAATCCAAATACGCCAAAAAAATTTAAACAACAGGGCTCCTTAAGAAACAGGATTATTTCATTTTATTTACTGCATTTTATCCTGTTTTTCCACAGCCCTCTGGTTGCTGAAAGAGATGTACGTGGGGTTTACTCTTAATTAAATTCCCATGCAATCGAAGTTTGGTTTTTATTCATTCATTAACTGTATACGTTGTCTTATCTTCCCGATAAGAAAAGCTAGGTGGCTGAGAGTGACGGACACAGAATGAGTTCCATTAAGAATGTGATGTTGGGCTTTCCTGGTCCAAATTCAAAATCTTAAACAAAGTGTGCCACGCTTACCTGCACACGCTGGATTTTCTGGACATGGTGGTGCTAGGAGAAGAAGGAGGAGTCTGATAGGACCAGCCGTAGTCGGAACCTTTCAAATCGAGAATTACCTGGAAAAAAGAAAGAATCACCATGAAAGATCAAGGTTGACTTTAAAGGGCTGGTTTGGGGAATTCTAACTCAGAGATCCCCAGCCCCCAGTCTGTGTGAACCGGCACTGGTCTGTGGCATGTCAGAAAATGGTCCATGCAAACAAGCGAATGGGATGCAGGCAGCATGCGAAACCACGCCCCTTCCGGTCGACAGAAAAACCTCTCTCCACGGAACTGGTCCCTGGTGCCCAAAAAATTGGGGGCAGTTTTAACTGGATCGAAAAATTCTCCTAGCGTATTTCATTAGTGTCTCAAAATTAAGAGCTGAGAGTTGTATTATGACATTAAACACGGTTAATCTGTTAACTGTTATCAATGACTTTACGCCAGTGTTTCGCAACCGTGGCAGTTTGAAGATGTGTGGATTTTGTGTCCCAAATTCAAGGCTGGCTAGGGAATTCTGGGAGTTGAGGTCCTCTTATCTTCAAGTTGCCAAGGTTAAGTAACATTGCTCTTTACAACTTATAATTATCAGCTCCTCTGATAGCAATGCAATATAACCCATGAACCAAAATAAACGATCACTATGTCTTGGGTGATTCCGAGAATTATAAAATAAGTCAGGGTCAGATTTTCAGGGATGCAAAATCTAGCAAACAGTCCAAAAACATCAGAGACAATACAGTACTAAGCATATTACAGAACACTGATAATTGAATGAACAGAATAAAAAAAATGCCACCATTGCCCTATACATTATGCACTGCAATATTCAATTGTGCATCCCTCAATATATATTTTAAAGCCTTTGATAAATACATCCTATGTTTAGATGAAACAAAAACCAAGACAAATTTGTTACCTGTGAGAACAACATCCAAATTATGTGTTCACATATTCCAACGAAAACAATGGACTGAAATGAAATCTCTTTCTTCTTATGCATTTTTTGTATAAATGCTTGAATTAGTTTTGACTTGTGGTGATTGCCTAAACTAACCTCTGCCGTTTTCATGGCAAGACTTTGGTTTTGGTGGTTTGCTATTGCCTCCTTCCTAGGGCTGAGAGTGTGTGACTGGCCCAAAGTCACCCAGTTGGCTTTGTGCCGAAGGTGACTAGAACTCACCTTCTCTTGGTTTCTGGCCTGATTACAGGAAAACTGGCTCTCTTGCATGTTATATGAATCCTGTAACTACTTCAAAACTATCCCAAAGGTGCTTTTTCAAGAGGCATCTGGTCTTTCTGGTTTTTTTCTTTGAAAATGTTTCACTTCTCATCCAAGAAGCTTTTCTTCAGCTCTGATTCCCCACCATCCAGTCACAGCTGAAGAAGCTTCTTGGGATGAGAAGCGAAAAACCAGAAAGTCCAGTTGCCTCTTCAAAAAGCACCTTTGGAATAACCATGATCTGGATGACTGAGGATCTCCATAGACATCTACTTCAGAACCAACTTACTGCATTAAAAAACTTGCTCCAATAGGCCAGTTCTTGCAAAAAAATCAAACAATGTAACCATCTCTGTTTGTTTCCGCCTAATCCCCCAAATGAATGAAAAGAAGCTGTAGGTTTCAATGTACAATTGTACCTGAGCCCCAAATCCTGTTGCTAAGCGAGAACAGTTGTTATCTTACAATTTACAATATCTTACAACTTTGCTTGCCACAGTTAAGTGGATTACTGCAGATGCAAGTTAATAACATAGGGATTTAAGAGAATCTGGCTTCCCCATTTGCTTGTCAGAATGTCGCAAAAGGTGATCACCTGACCCTGGGACAGTGCAGCTGTCACCAGTACACGCCAGTTGCCAAGTGTCTGAATTTTGATCATGTGACCACGGGGATGCTGCTTCGGAAACTGGTGATGTCACTTTTTTCAAAAGCACTGTAACTTCTCAAGGCCACTAAATGAATGGGTGTTAAGTCAAGGACTGCCTTACTATTTTTGAGTCAGGGGTCCCAATGAACAAGTGTACCTGTTCACTTGATGATGGCAGCTTGTGTGGGTCCATGGTGAGGCTTTTCAGATCTTCCGATATGGTCTGTAGATGAGTTATTTCTCCCAGCATTGATATTTCTTCTTCCTAGAATATTTTTTTTTGTAATAGAGAATCTGTTATTGCTGATGAGAACTCAGTTTTATTGTGTATTCGGTTCTGTGAAGAGAGGACAATCTTAGTACAACATAGAAATACAGAATGGCAGATCTTTATTTCTTCAATACTTTATTCTCACAATACCCATTAAAACAACCTGACACAGGGGTCACCGACCTTTCGGACCTCAGGAACCACTAAATTTGTAATTTTAAATCCCGTGGACCAGTAATATTATTTTTTTTATTAGATAAAATAGTATTTAGTGCAATATAAAAATGCAAATACTTTTTCTGTGGACCACCAAAATTTTCTTGTGGACCACCAGTTGGTAACCACTGAGCTAACAGGAGTTATAAAACCTCCTTATCTAGCTCTAAGTATGAATTTGGGGAGGCACATTTTCCAAATTCATGATTTGGGTAAGGAAGAAGGAAGGAAGAGATAACTTCATCTATATATAAAGGTAAAGGTTTCCCCTGTCCAGTTGTGTCTGACTCTAGAAGGAGGTACTACATTTCCTCCAAAGAAGCCAGCATTGTCCAAAGACACTTACGTGATTATGTCACCAGCATGATTATACTTCCCACTGAAGTGGTACCTATTTATCTACTCGCATTTGCATGCTTTTGTAGTGCTAGGTTGGCAGAAGCTGGGGCAAGGACAGGAACTCATTCCGTCGCACGGCACTCAAGTCTCGAACCTGGGCTGTCACCTTTCCGGGTCACAAGCTCGGCGTCTTTAATCTCTGAGCCATTGCGCACTTCTTTTTATTTACATATAATAACATATACTGACCAGAGGTGGTATTCATTTATGGCCTGGATACAGAGGGGGTATTCTACTGGTTTGCCCCTGTTCGAGTGAACCAATAGCAGCAGTGGCAGCTGGAAGCTCCACCCACATGCCCAGATGTCATCCTGGATGCTCTGCGCATAAGGATCTGTGCATGTGTAGAAGCACCATGCGTGAGCTAAGTGAGCACGCACATGCTCCTGGTTCCAAACCGGTAGAGAAGGTAAGAGGATGGCTGCCTCAGTCGCATGTGCCACCTCCGCGCATGTGCTTTTGGCTAAAAAAGGGTCTAAATGGGATGCCATAGAACTGGGGCGGGTGGGCAGGGCCACCCACAATTTCTGCTACCGGTTTGGGCGAACCGGTCCAAACTGGTAGAATACCACCTCTGATGCAGACATATCGTAAAGCAATCTGGAAGTTCTGAATGGGAAGGTGATCTACAATAGTTAATATAGCCAAGGAGTAGTCCAATAGTGCAGAGTCTAGTTACATTTTTTCCTTCTGCAAGATACACTTCCAGTATTCAGATCCAGTTTACAAAGAGTCTTTGACAGAATGGATTCATTCAGAGGAGCAAAGAGGAGAACTAAGCAGCAATTCTCTCATTTCCGCCACGCTCAATAGCAATTCTATTTTCCTATTCCTAATTTCCCAGGGCACCCTTTGCACAAGGTCTCTGTCGTTTCCAACAGAAATTACTTCTTAGTCTCAAAGATGGAGGTAGATGAAATAGAAATGAAAACGGATTACGAGTATTCAATCCCAGAAGTGTTGACTGTCACCCAATTTGCAGTTATCATTGCCAAGCAACTAATTTAAAAAGTTCCCAGCTTTCAAAGCCTCTTGATTATTTGCAATTCTTAACTAGCTACTTTAATACTTTTCATATATTTGTTACCTTGCCTGAGAATATTTAGGCTTCATAGAAAATATTGAATAAATAAATCTAAGGGTACACGGAATTGAAAGGACTAGGTAAATAAAATAAAACTGAAATGGAGGAATAGAAAGGTCTTTTAAGCTCAAACCTTCACTGTGTGTCCTTAAATTGATCTGTAAAGGTAGGCCATTGTCACCCTCATACTGCACTCTACAAGAATCTCACGCACCCCAAAATTTTGTCATTGTTTTATTGTGTGGATCTATATATTTTACTGAAGTTCCACAGAATTCAAGAAAGCCATATTCTGAAATAATCTAATATTACTGTACATCAACCATCAAAAAATAATAAGGCATTCTTGGAACATTGTGACACTTCCCATCCTTGCAAATGATCATATTCATTACATAGGTAAAGGTTCCCCTTGCATATGTGCTAGTCGTTCCCGACTCTAGGGGGCGGTGCTTATCTCAGTTTCAAAGCCGAAGAGCCAGCACTGTCAGAAGACGTCTCCATGGCCATGTGGCCGCTGTTACTTCCTACCAAAGGTGGTTCCTATTTTTCTACTTGCACTTTTATATGCTTTCGAACTGCTAGGTTGGCAAAAGCTGGGACAAGTAACGGGAGCTCACTCCGTTACGTGGTGCTAGGGATTTGAATCGCCGACTTTTCTAATCGACAAGCTCAGCAACTTTATCACCAAATCCAGTCATATAATTCTTCCATAGATTCCTGAAATGGCCCATAATATTCTTCAGACAACCCCCTTTCATGGTGTGTATAAAAGAGAGGATCTACACAATAGTGATCCTTCAGAATATGGACCACACAGAACCCTTTCAAATATGTTTTTATTGAAAGAGTCCATGAAAGTCTTCCATTCTAGCTGCTAATGTTCATATCCAAAGCAACATTTACAGTATGCTGCACATTTTTTTGATGCGTACTGTCTATCTCATCTGGTCACGGTCCTTTTGTGCATAAGTGCATACGTGAGGGAAGAAGCATTAAGTAGGTTATGGATATTTAAACATACACAGGAATCAGAAATACAATATGCTACTGTAGAAATACTTCACTCTCTCTCAAAGACAGGTGAACAACAAAAGCATTGGGAATGGAACTCACAATTACAGGACGCAGCATAGAAATAAATGAACAGAATCGGCCACGTTCTTCAATCAGTGCTTTTCTAACAGCCTGTTTTTCCGTTTCTTCAAGGAGAAGATATTTATCGTTCACGTCCTGCAGGGCACTGTCCAGCTGAGGTTGGATGTCTCCTCTCCCTGTTCATAACAGAAGAAAAACAAAAGTTGTTACAAGCCCAAACAATCTCTCTCTCTCCATATATATATATATATATATATATATATATATATATATATATATATATTGTGTGTGTGTGTGTGTGTGTGTGTGTGTGTGTGTGTGTGTGTGTGTTTGTTCCAGCATAACTCTGGAATTCCTCGAGTAATTTCAAACGAACTTGGTACATAAATGACTTACTCTCTGGAAAAAAATACTGTGGGGGGTAATATACCCCTAACGCCTCTCGGGGTGTGTATTCTGTTAAGACACTGCCTGT